TGATTCTTCTTGGTGCTACAGCTGTTGAAGACAAACTTCAAAATGGGGTGGGTTTAGAGACCACATATTGAAAGCATTACTTGTTTATATTTTAATGTCTGCATTCATGTTTTGCCTTTTCTGCTGGACAGGTTCCGGAATGCATCGACAAACTCGCACAAGCCGGGATCAAGATATGGGTTTTGACAGGAGATAAGATGGAGACTGCCATTAATATTGGGTATAATCATTGTTGCAAATGGTTACCATAAGATCTGTGTGAACTTTCATTTGCTGATTTCAAAAACTTCAAACTTTGCAGCTTTGCCTGTAGTTTGCTTAGACAAGGAATGAAGCAAGTTGTAATAAATTCCGAGACTCCGGAAAACAAGGCATTGGAGAAATCCGGGGATAAAACCGCCGCTGCAGCGGTAAACTCTAAGTTCAATGAATCCTTTTTATCTCATCGAATGCTGTTTTTTTTGTATTTGTTCAAGCACATTTCGAGAAAGATTTTTGCGCCTTAAACTGTGTTTGCCATACTTGTTTCTTATCCGAATACAATCTAATGTTTTGTGTGTGCTTGTCGGCTTATTGAGAACCTTTTGATTTTCGATTTTCTAGGCATACAAGGCAAGCGTTATCCAGCAGATAGCTGAAGGGAAGCAGCTGCTTGCTTCATCGAATGAAAATTCCGAGGCATTGGCTTTGATCGTTGATGGAAAATCATTAACTTATGCTCTGGAAGATGATGTCAAAGACAGTTTCCTTGAACTTGCTATTGGATGTGGATCCGTTATTTGCTGTCGTTCATCTCCTAAACAGAAGGCTCTTGTAAGTTATATCATCCCTTAATGATGTGCACGTGCACACGCACACATAGACACGTACACGTACACGCACGTGCACACACATACGTATGTATAATGACTGAAAAAAAGCATCTGAGCTTTTTCTTGCTACTCTAGCAATTCTGAGGAGAATTCAACTAACAGGGGGAAAACTTGCAGGTTACAAGACTGGTTAAAACTAAAACGGGAAGTACAACTCTAGCAATCGGTGATGGAGCAAACGATGTCGGTATGCTTCAAGAAGCCGATATTGGAGTTGGTATCAGTGGTGTAGAAGGAATGCAGGTAAATGCTTAATAAATTGTTTCATGTATAAAGAAGGTGCATCGGTTTGTTTCGCTTGATGCGTTTTCCTTCTCGATCCTAATACCGACTTCTTGAATTTTTAGGCCGTCATGTCAAGTGACATCGCAATTGCGCAGTTCCGGTATTTGGAGCGCTTGCTTCTTCTGCATGGACATTGGTGTTACAGGAGGATTTCATCAATGGTACTATAAGTTACTCTTAGATGTTAAACTTGAAGTGTTCATCAAAACCTGCAACTTAGATGTACATGTCTTTTCTAATCACAAAATCGAATTCGGAATTCGATATAACCGCAAAATCAGAAGATTGTTATGAAAAAGAAACAACACCATCCAATAGCAACCAGTTAAACTAAAATGATAGAACTGTTTTGCAGATATGCTATTTCTTTTACAAGAATATTGCTTTCGGTTTCACTATCTTCTTCTTCGAGATATACGCATCGTTTTCCGGACAAGCTGTATACAACGATTGGTTTCTGTCCCTCTATAATGTCTTCTTCACATCACTTCCGGTGATCGCCCTTGGAGTTTTCGACCAAGACGTCTCATCCCGTTTGTGTCTTAAGGTATCTCTCTATACATAAGAGAGCTTCTATGTTGCTTCACTAATAAAAAAATTGAACTTTGATGAATGATATCCGATTTCTCTTGGACTTATGTTGCAGTTTCCTCTATTATATCAAGAAGGCATACAAAATGTCCTATTTAGCTGGCTTAGGATCGTCGCATGGGCGTTTAACGGAGTTCTAAGTGCTACGATCATCTTCTTCTTCTGCATCCGAGCAATGCAGCATCAAGCCTTCCGCAAAGGCGGGGAAGTTGCCGGTTTGGAAGTCCTCGGCGCCACCATGTATACGTGCGTAGTGTGGGTGGTGAACTGCCAAATGGCGTTATCGATCACTTATTTTACATACATTCAACATCTCTTCATATGGGGCGGCATAATATTGTGGTATATCTTCCTCATGGCATACGGAGCCATGGACCCGAACATATCGACTACTGCCTACAAGGTCTTCATCGAAGCCTGTGCACCTGCAGGGTCGTATTGGCTTCTTACACTCCTCGTGCTGGTAACCTCGCTTCTCCCATATTTCGCATACTCGGCCATCAAATTCCGATTTTTCCCCATGTACCATGAGATGATACAGTGGATTCGATCCGATGGGCAATCGGATGACCCCGTGTACTGTCAAATGGTGCGACAGAGATCGTTACGCCACACTACAGTAGGTTATACAGCACGGTTTGAAGCGAAATCGAGAAGCTCGAAAGAGGGAGGCGAGGGTCATCGATGATCACCGTTTTTTCTCACTATTTTCGACCAAAAGATGGTCTGTATATTATGCTGCTAGGATTTCTTTCAAATGTACATATTTAAACACCAAGAAAAGTTCTTTCTTGTCGAGAAAGTTACGTCTGCAACATGTTCTTAGCAACTTAAGATGCAGTATCGTATCCGACATTACGGTTCGACGTTAGAACCATCATTTTTGTGTTTTGATTTGTATTTAAGATCTAAGGTTATAGAAATTAAAGTAAACTGATTTCTTTCTTGAATCTGTAAGAAAATTAATTGACAGTGTTTAAGCTTTTCAACTTATAAGTTCATTTTTTTTGTCCTCTTGGTTCGAAGGTTTCGTCTTGATTAATCCAAACTGACCCGTATCGCACATTTGGTTTTGGTGGGTGAGTCTCCCGGTAGAGATTTTCCGTGAGACATTGCTTAAGCAATATCAAGTTACTTACCACTTGAAACAATCCCTGTTGGTAACTTATAAGTTCTGAGTGAAAATAGATGACTGCGATTAAAAGTAAAAAATGCGAAATATTCATTAAAAATAAAAGCAATGAGTCGATGTCAGCTATATATATATATATATATATATATATATATATATATATATATATATATATATACTTTAATTGTATGTATGATATGCACCAGAAAGAAGAGCAAGCATGATAAGCAGAAAACAGGAAACGAACAAAAGACTGCTTCACACAGCATTATTAAAGGAGAATTTAAGACTGAAAAAGGTTCTGCCCTAAAGAATCCAAACAAAAACAAACTAAATAACCCTTTAGATATATAATCTGTATCAGAAAATAGCAGCAAAGAGCACAATCTAAAAAACAAAAACCTTTAGCAGAAGAATGGTATTTATATACATAAGTGAATAAGTTCACAGGGAACCCTACAAGCAAGCTGAAAAAGTTGGTATGAGGATTTGCAGGAACTGCAGAAAACCAGCGTATTTGAAAAGCAAAATGAGCCTAACAAGACTGATATATACCATGTTCTTAAAGACTAGGAGCAAGGACAAGCTATTACATGACAAAAAATGAAACCCAACATTATTTTTTTTGGGTTAAAAGAAAGGTTAAGATAGCAAAGGTGTCTTTGGTTTGGTTTTTTTTTGGGGGGCACTTTTGAGGTGTGAGTTTTGTTTGTAGGCTGTTGGATGTATGTTACTAAGGGTATTTCTTAGGGTATAATCTGCTTTCAAAGTTCTGCAATCTTATAAAATGCAACAAAACATTTTGGTTTTTGTCAGTTCTTTGGCTTTGTTTTGGTGTTTTCTGCCCATCTACTTGAGAGTCCGTTGTGACTAAACATGTATCAAATATATATTTGAGTATATTTTAAGGATCACGAACCAAACCACCCTAGTGGTAAAAGAATTATTGTTATTCACTGAGATCTTGGATTAGAACACCAAAAATCCCAAGTATACGAGTGTATATTACATTGTACTTACCCCATATTAATAAAAAAATATACTTTAAGGGTAATGACAAAAGAATCCTCAAACATTTGACAAATAGTTATTTTGATCCCTATTTTTCTAAAACATTTTGACCTCTCAACATTTTATTTTGGGGGAAAACTCATATCTGAATGAAAATCATTAGTCAATAAACAATTTACACTTCAAAAATATGAACATTTTACCCTAAAATGAAACTTTAAAGGTCAAAATTCTTAAAAAATAATAAATAATAAGAGCTAATATGATTATTTGTTAAAGATTAAGCGTATTTTTTACCCTAAAATAAAAATTGAAGGCTAAAATGATAAAAAAAAGAATATGAACCAAAATGATTATTTGATAAAATGTTATGGCTATTTTTTTTGGCATTATGCCTAGGGATGGGCATGGGTCGGGTTGGGTTTTTGGTCCACCCGACTCGACCAGAGAACAAGGGATCCTCCACCCGAGACTCGACCCGAACCCTACCCGATATATAACTTAGAAACCCGACCTGACCCGACACGAAATAATAAAAAAAATAATTTTTATTCAATAAAAAGATTGACTTAATTGAAAAAATTATAAATGGAGGGGTATTATTGTAATTATTCCTAAATATATAAGGTAAAATTATATATTTTTTCGGGCCAGGTCGGGTATTTTCACCATAAACCCGACTCGACCCGAAACCAATTTTTTTTTAAAAATCCGACCCGATTGGGTTGGGTCGGAACCCATCGAGTTCAGGCATCCCTAATTATGCCTCTATTTTAATGTAGGGTAAATATACAATTCAATACTTACCAACAATCAGTTGTTTTAGTTGGATGATGTACTAAATTTTTTAGTAAGATCAGATATTCGAATTCTGATATTATGAATAAAAAAATTAAATCAGAAGCATCGTCTTCATAATAAACTCTTGTAATATTCAATCTTAATTAATTAATTAATAGTTCAATTATTAACGATTAAATTAAATAAAATATATTATGCATTTTGAATGGAACGTTTATTTCAATTTGGCTACTGATGGTATATATAAATAAAGAATATTATAAACTTGACACCTTGCTAAACCCTAATTTTATAATCACAAGAAGACAATGAACATGCAACTATCCCAAAATCATTCTTTAAATCCCCCATTATTGTTCCATGATGTCATTCATGGCAGCTCATCATTTTCGCTACCCATTTCTCCTCGTCCTCCAATGAACACCATGGATACCTCAACATCAACTATGGCATCTCACACAGATCAAAACCCTAGAGAAAACCAGACCTCCATTGAACCTGAGCTTGAAGCAGAAAGCTTCAACAAAAGTGGTGAGAAAACAAGTAACAAGAAGCTCAACAGTGGAAGAAGATACCTCGGGGTTCGACAACGGCCGTCGGGACGATGGGTGGCCGAGATCAAGAACTCATCTCAGAAGCTGAGACTATGGCTGGGGACTTTCGACAAAGCCGAAGACGCCGCCGTGGCTTATGATAACGCCGCCAGGGTTTTACGAGGGAAGAACGCCAAGACCAATTTTCAGTACGAAGAAAACTGCAGGAATCTGATGTTAGGGAAGATCAATCCGAGGGTTTATCAGCTTCTTAGGGTAACCATCATGAAGAACCATGCAAGATCAACAGCTTTGAAAAGCACCATTAATGGAAAGAACATGGGGAGAAAATTAGACCCTAATATTGCTGCTGCTGGTGATTTCGATACGGTTGTTGAAGAAACCATATTTTGTTCTTCAGATGATCATCTTCACGATGAAGATGGTAACAGTAACAACAAGAACAAGATTTGCAAGGTCTCGCTTGGGAATTCTAAGGTGTATTCTTCTGTTGTTGTTGCTCCTTCCTTTGGCTCTTCTTTGCATCAATAAGGAGAATAGGAAAAACACTGAAATACTTCACATGATTCACAGTTTTTTTAGTTATTTTTCATGCATATCAGTTCAAAATTGGCTTGTTCGAAACTTGAAAGAAGACGTTGTTTGTATACTTATGCTGTTCAATATTCAATGTTTAATCTGTCATTCCAGAGTGGAAAATATGAAGTTTATGTTAGCTTTTATATATATATATACACACACACAACAGGTTTGCCTTTAACTTCAGTTGCAACTTAAGAAAAGGTATACGGGTGATTATGTGATAGTATATGATCAAGATTTTTTTTTGTTATTGACAATGTATATATTTTACACACTCACCTACGGTTCCAAATAGGATGGAGATAAGTATAAATTTAATGGGTAATGGGATGATATGAATGTAAAAAGTCATACCCGTCGGGGTGGTGGGTAGGTGATAAGTTTGAGACCTTACCCGCCTTGCATCCATCCGCTCTACATTCGCCCGCCCACTAGCTACTCTCTATATAAATTGTGAATCATTATGAATTCAATTATAATTTCAGAGATTATTCCGTAAATTTTAAGATTTTATAAGACATGACTTGCAATTTAACTAAATGTTAGGGTATAAACATTTTTAAAATCGAATACCATCGTTTCTCCTATCTCAAATTGGTGGGTATGAGCATACGGGTACGGGATGAGTGGTGAGTATCTGGTTAGGTAGTGGATGTGGGGATGAATTTGAGAATATAACGCATGGGCGGACGTGGATTTAAAAAATTTACCCATCGTAGGTGAAGTGGGTAAGTGGTTGATATGAAAATATTAGGTGGATATAGAGATGAGAGAAAGGGTATCTACACTTACCCTGTCAGTTTGTCATTCTTACCGGCTACACGAACCCAAAACTTTAACAGATAACAACATTCCCATTTATAAATGACGAGTAAATTATCTTAAAATAAACAACGTAATAGTCATTTTATAATCGAATAAAAAAAATTAAATAACTATTTTATAACTTTGAAAGTTTGATAAATTAAATATTATTTTAATATAATTTAGTGATCATTTATATACTTTATGATAAGGGATGGATATGAGACTCGAACCCGACTTGATCGGGTCGGGTTTTTTTTAAAAAATCGAGTTCGGGTAGGGTCGGGTCAAGTTTTTTAAACGCGGTGTTCGGGTCGGGTCAGATTTGAGTTTAGAGTGAAAAATACCCGACCTGGAAAAAATAATTTTACCTTATATATTTAGGAATAATTACAATAATACCCCTCGATATATTATTTTTTAAATTAAATCACTGTTTTTTTTATTATTTCGGGTTAGCTTCGGATTTGATTTCAAAAAGTCTGGTCGGGTCGGGTGGAGTGTATATATTATGCGGGTTGAGTTGAATTTCGGGTGGAAGATTCATTGTTATCGGGTCGGGTGGACCAAAAATCGACCCAACCTGACTTATGTCCATCCCTATTTATGATAAATTTAAATTATTTAAATATTATATTATTGTTAAAATCTAATTATGTTGTATTTAAAATTATATCACCACCAAATTTATCAACTTTCAAAAGTTTGAACTCTGATTTTAAACCTCACATTCATACCGAATTATGAACCAATGAAACCAACAACAATCTTCACAAAAATACCTAAATCCAATCATTTTTTTCAAAGTTTTCTCAAATATATCCATAATTTCTCCTCCTCCTCCACTGTTGGCGAAAGCAGCCATCATCATTTCCTTATTTTCTGTAATAATTTGGTAATTAGTGTTACGATTTAGGGTTGAAGATGGTGGCGTTACATGTTGGCAACTCAATCAATTAAAGGAATTTTCGCGGGGTTCGACATGGACTCTGATGGCAGCCTCGCGATTCTCGAGCTCTCCGAGCTCCTCCGATCACTAGGACTCAAGCCGTCCGAGGATCAGATCCATGTGCTATTAGCCAATATGGACTCTAATGGGGATGGTGCGGTCGAGTTCGATGAATTAGTGAATGCGATAATGCCACACATGAACGAACAAATGATGGTGAATCAAGAGCAACTCAAGGAGGTTTTTACCTTGTTTGATCGAGACGGAAACATCTACAGCGACCCAGCCGAACTCGCGGGTTGTATGATCAAAATGGGACGTATAAAGAGCTAACAGAGATGATTAGAGAAGCCGATGCCGACGGAGACGGTGTCATTAGCTGCAATGAATTTTCTACCGTAATTGCTAAGTCGGCCTTTGAGTTTCTAGGCATTCATTTATCTTCATAACCAATATATGTACATATTGGAGTAATAAGCAGCTACTAGTCATTGTATCAATACACTGATACAAAGCCTTTTTTAAAACCTAAAATAAACCATAACCATAGCACTGAGTTGCGGTTGAGGTAATCGTTACTATGTTATAACGTGATTTAATTTTTAAATAATAATTATATTTTTCTGTTACGGATGTGATTTTCGGTGTCCCGGTAACTTTAAAAAACGTTATGATGTGACCGTATACTGCAATTTACACTGAAGGTCGTTTCTCCGGCAATATTTGAGGCATCAAAGAAAGCCCAAGAAGCGTTTCAAGGAACTGGTCTTGATACAAAGAAAGAGGGTAATATCCTTGTGATAAGTGATATTAGATTGATCTTTTGATTGGTTGATTTTATGTCGAGCTTCCTAATGAATGCAGTGGCGGAGTCACGGCTTGTTCAGGGTGGGTACGTGCCCACCACCCTAAAATATATTTCTGGATCCATCATTAAATGAACGGGTAGACATGATGAACAACCTTGATGACCCGTGACTGAGGATGTCATGAGATCAGATAGAAGGGGATAGAAGCTTCTCTCCTATGTATATATCAAATCAGTTGTTCAAGGAAAGGAATATGACTCATTTTAAATTAGTCATTGAATATTTAAACATTCTAAATTAATCCCTAAACTATGACTATCATTTTAAATTCATCCTTAAACTTTTAAACATTCAAATTTCATCCCCAAACTATGATTCTCATTCTAAATTAGTCCCCAAACTTTTCAACATCCCAATAAATTCCCCCTGAACCTAAAACATTCAAAAATTTGGGAAAGAAATTAGAATATTGAAAAGTTTGGGGATCAAAGGGTCATTTGTCTGAGGATGATTTCAGAATGTTTAGAGTTTTAGAGACAAATTTAGAACGAAAACCATGGTTTAAGGATGAAACTAGAATGTTCAAAAATTTGGAGACTAATTTGGAACGAGGGTCAAAATTTGAGGATGTATAGTGTGATTAACTCTAATTAAAATAAACACGTAATTAAGGTAATGAGAAGAGTAAACGTATTCAATAAAACAATATTAAAATATTATATTATTCTTGTAGGAAACGAATTCAAATTAACATTACCACAACTCAATCATTACATATATTTAATGATTATGAGCATTTATCAATATGCAGCTCGGTGATCCAAAATAAAGATATATAACCAAATAACTATCAATAATATGCTATCAATTTTCCGTTAAAAAATTAAATGAATTGACGATGTAGTATTTTTTTTAATTTTTTCAATAATGATGACGTAACATTACCTTATGGTGATACATTAACATCATTGTTAATTTTTTAATGGTGGATGACCAATATCAAGTATGATTTTAAACAAAATAGTTGAGTGACTAAAACAGAATAAAAGTGATAGTTGACGTACTATACGTATAACTTACCCTAAAACAATATTATTATTTTATTAAATAAAAGTAAACGTATTCAATAAAGTAATATTAAATATTCTATTGGGCTAATTAAACACAATTCTTGTAGGAAAAGGATTAAATATTTAGAGTGCGTATATAAAGAGAGGAGGCTAAAGAACTCTTCACCAGAACAATTGGAAGAGAAGAAGAAACATAAAAAAGATAAGCATCAAGCATTGTTATTCTCTTGAAGATGCAGAGGGAGATTGGTTCATGGTACGTCGATGATCGGACTTTGAATTGGTACTTTTTCGATATATGGACGGGTTAACTTACGCAAGATCGATCCCCACAAGACTACGAGGAAGAGGCACATTACCCGCACCTTTGCCGCAGGTTTCGATACTGTCACGCTTCGATCGATCGCCGTGACGACCTTGATCGTAGTGAAATCTGTGATATGTTTCACCGAAACCTGTTCGGCGGATCGATTAGATTCGCCCCGTGGGAGCACGAAATCTCCGAAGAATTCAAGGACAACCGCCATTCTCAAATCTAGAACTATATCGACTGCACACGTAGGGATGAACGCAACGCGAAGGTGGATAAGTTCTGGATCGTTGTGAAATTCGGGGTGTTTGTGATGTACCGTGATCTCGATCATGATTATTACAGCGATGACGATGGTGATGCCGATGAGGAAATCGGATTCGTTCCGGCTTGTAAGTCGAGCATCGAAACATTGGAGAGAGTTTTGGATTCGGGGTTTAGAGTTTAGGGTTTAAGATTTAGGAAGCTAAACGTATTCCTTGTGGGACCGATGTATTGAAAAGTGGCTAGAGAAGAGTCACTATACCATGCCTTGTGATTCATGAATGTTTAAATCTTCATTAATTACTGTTATTATATAGTAAGTTCAGATGTTCTTATTCATTTAATTTAAGTTTATAATTTAATTTGAAGTTCGAACACTTTATCTTTTCAATCCAATTTTCTCTATTCATAACCTTAGATTCGAACTAATAACCTTACTTAAAAAGGATTTTAATGAGGATTAAACTATTAAAAGATCACCGAGAATCGTAAATCAAAGCCAAGCGTCATGAGAACTATACATGAAAGTAAAATCGTATATCTAAATTCAATCTGAAGGTTCATAGCACGAAAGATCAACATTATTTCAAATAAACGTTATATTTATAAGTCGTATCGTAGTTAAATCTAACCCTTTAATTTAAGGACTACAGTGGGGATTTTTATTTGATTCTATATTTAAAATGGAATTAGATTACCAAGTTCATAGAATATTAGTTAATATATATTTATAGAATTAATGGGAATTATTAAAGAGTTTCCACTAATTTAGACAATTAATAAATGATTTTGCTTGTGAATTTAAAATTACCCAGAAAAAAGGGCATACATATACGTGTGTATGTATATATAGACGGCTACATGACTTTGTTATCTTAGGGGCCGTTTGTTTACTGTTGAATGAAACCATTCAGTGTTTAAATGCTGAACCGTTTAGCATTCAACGTGTTTGATTCTCACCTCTGAATGAAGACTATGCTGAATGAAACAGTAAAACACTGTTGAATGAAACATCAAAACACTGCTGAATGAAACAACAAAACACTGCTGAATGATTCAGCATTAAAGTACATTCTGAATCATTAAGCACCCGGTATTTTACCATAATACATATTTTTTCACATGTTTTCTTATTAAACAATCATATCTTATAATATAATAAATCATTATGAAAGTAAAAATGAAAATATTCATAATTCAGATTGTACATTCAGAACCATTATCAAACAGTATGTCACATTCAGAGTCAATTCATACAGAGCTTTTGAATAATTTAGGTCATTGAATCATTCGCGCTTAATCATTTTATTTTATCAAACAACCCCTTAGAGATGGAAAATCATTCTGGTTCATGGCCCTGTTCAAATTATAGAACTTGGTATTGTTTCGATAAATGGATGGGAGAACTTGTAGAAGATCAGATTCCACAAGACTACGAGAAGGAAGTCCATGACCCTCCACGTTGCGGTCGCTTGTTTTACCATCGCCGCCGCCTGCCAGTAGTCCCCCAGTAGGGTTCTCTGGATGTTATTCGGCCTTGCCTGGATGTTTACGATGTCGTAGGTGTTGGCTCTAGGGCCCATGAGCCAAAACCTTATGGTATTGTTAGCATTGTAGTTGGAGACCAGAACATATGACCCGTCTTGGCTAACTGCTACCCCTGCTGACCCTGAGAGGCTCCTTAGCAATACTGTCGCTCACCTCGTGCTCGGGTTGTACATTAGCAACGTCCCCGTCGAATCATTCGACGCCAACCCTTTCGAAGCATCTCTGCAACATTAATTATAGAGGGGAGAAAAGAACTTTGGAGGAAGGAAAACGTTACTCCTAGTGAGTCTAGAACTCGTGACTTAAAAGAATGTAAGGGACTAAAGATAAGAACAACTTAGTCTATAAATATATCATCATTATTTTTATGTCACATCAATAATTAAGAGCATATAAATATATCATATACAAGAAACAATTAGATGGCTCGAGTGGTAAAAGAAGATATTCTCCTTAAAGATTTGAGTTTGAGCAATTATGTCTATACGGTGTGTGTACATTAATAAATTAAAAATTTCTAAACAAATACTATCTTATAATCACTCATACTATATATTGGTTAGGATCCACTTCACCTAGTGTAAAACTTTTAATTTTAAGTCATTTTAGGATCGTTAGATAAAGAGAAATCAAAGGTTGAGATCCACTTACTCCTGGTTAATCTTAACCTTTGATTTCTCAAATCCAACGATCCTAAAAACGTGTAAAAAAATTACACTGTATAATTGGATCCTAACCCATATCTATATACACACACACATTTAGGACATTTGGATGAATGAAAATAGATGGTTGAGATTGACTCATTGTTTTTTTCCAGTAAATATCTTCACATTTCTTATTTTTAAACTCATCCATCTGTTTTCACTCATCCAATGATCTAAAATATGTGTAAAACTAAAAAAATTAAATTACATTGTATAAGAAGATCATGATCATGCCATATATATAAGGGTTAGGATCTTAATTTGAGTTTTAAGGGGCTTATTCGGTCTAAATCCAATTCAAATTTTAAGATAAAAATCTGAATATGAATTTCATCCATATAAATATAAAATGATTTTAGTTTTCTTAGGTAAAATAAAGAAATGAGTATTATACCAATTATGTCCAAATATATAAGAAAATTATATTATTATTATCATGGTTGAGTTAAAAAAATTTAATCCTAAATTTAAATCCGACCCAAACTGATCTAATCATTTGTAAAATTCAACCTTATTTTTATTCAAAAAAATTGATTTCGTTGAGTCAAGTCAAAGTTCTACCTCATTGAACCTAATACATTGGATATTTTTGGTCACTGAACTTTCTCTCTCTTATTTTGATCATTCCGTCGTTAAATATTTAACGACGTTAAAAACAATGTTGCTTTAAAAAAACAAAATTTTCACCAAAAGAATGTCGTTTTGCATCTATATAACTGCTCGTTTTAATGTCGTCAACTATTTAACGGCCGAGTAACAAAAAAATCCAATGAATTAAGTTTATTGAGGAAATTGAATAAATTAAAAGTAAAGATAGTTAAATAAGAGAAAGAGTAAAGTTTAGTTGCCGAATTTATAATTTACCCACCAGCCGTGAAGCAATATAAAGCTTGAAACCAAACTCTTCAACTTCACTCACTGAATTGTTTCCGTACCATAGCTCAAGATTAACTGTCTGTAAAACGTCCCCATTTCCATTGATCCTTAGTCCTAAAGGCAACAAACTCGATTCCGTTCGCCGGTCTATCCTCGCCGCCGCTAGCCAGAAATCGTCTGCTCTCGTCCTCTTGATGTTATCCGGCGTCGGCAAAGAGTTTACTATTTCGGATTCGTAGGGTTTATGGCCGTGGAGCCAAATCTTTCGAGTCTTGTTCCCGATGAACTCGGAAACCAGGGCGAATTTCTCATCTTTATCGACTGCAACTCCGGCGGCAAACGAGAGGTTCCTAAACAGCACCGTCACTTGCTTGCTTCCGACGTCGTACTTCAACAGCCTACCCGTTGAATCATTAACGCTTACTGCTGTTTGGAATTGTCTGCGAGATTGGAGAAACTATTTTTAGTTAAACATACAATATAAAACATTAGCTAATTGACGGTCAATACATATAATTAACGTAAGATTTATATATATATATATTAATTTATTGATGTAACGTGTCATATTATCTAAGATGATAAGACATATGTGATATCGTTGAAGATGATAGCATAATATATAACATATAGTATATAACATATGATATCTAAACAATTAAGCACATGCAAAAATATCGCATCTATCAGGAGCGGATGTACTTGACCCTCGAGGAGACCAAGCGTATACTTATTATTTTAGATAAATAATTAAATATGGCTCAATATATTAAGGGAGAGATAAAAAAAACGTTTGCGTATTCATATTATTGAAAAAAAATAATTAAAATTTTTAGAATTCTATTTTCAAATCATCAATAATATATATTAACTATTAATTTAGTAATTTTTTTTATTTAATTAGAGCTATTTTGATTAAACATCAAAGTATTAAATAAAAGAATATGAGTGAAAATGATCATTCGAATAAATATTGAGGGATTAATTTTGATTTATACTAATAAGTTATATTATATGTTTAGTTCCTAAATTATCAGTTTTGGCCCATTTAGTACTTAAACTTTAAAAAAAAATCATACTTAACGTTTAGTTTTTGTTTCATTTCAGTACTCCGCCATTAAAAAGTTAACGTATTTATACCTAAACTATCAATATGGCTCGTTTTGGTACCTAAAATTTTATTTTTTTTTCAAAACTTAATGTTAAGTTTTAATGAGTACTAAAATGAAATAAAAACTAAACATTATGCATGTTTTTGAAAAAAATTAAAAGTTTAAGTATTAAAACAGACCAAAATTAACAGTTTAGCTACTAAACGTATAATTTAAACTAAGGTATGTTGAAGGAAGAATTAAAAAAATATATAGGAAACTAACGGACGTTATATCGAAAGCCGAACTGGCGTCGGTGAAGTAGACATTTCCGGTCGGTTGATGGACGTAGACCGCGTTGCAGAAACGGAAAGGTTGACCTTCAGCGGCGGTGGAAAGTGGCGTTACAAAACCTCCTTTTGGTTCCAATACTCCGAATCCGTAAAACGCGTCGCAAACGTACAACCGTTTCGTCCGATGGTGCAACGCCATCCCTAATGGCCTTCCACAGATCGGATTTGGCTTCAAGATATCCGTGCCGTCGCACATGGATTTTGACCTAACACAAATTATGTCACATTCAGCCCCAATCGACAACATACAAATCGCTAAATGACACGGATCACATTTATATTTTTTTTAATATTTTTAGAAATAAAATAATATTTAATTTTTTTTAAAAAAGGTCTAAACGTTTTAACGGTATGCATCTGAAAGTGTAATGGAGAAAAAATATTAGGCACATAATTTTAACAAAAAAATCATTTACGCATCAAAAAGTTAATTTTGAGTATAATTTGAGCAATTATTTTTATATTAAGCCTTGATACTAATATGAAAAAAAATGATATACGGGTAAAAACTTTGATTTAGGATTTTTTACCGTTTATGTTTAGGTTTATAAACGAATTGAACGTTCGATATTTTTTTTAGTGAATTGTTTGTTTATTAAGTTAAATAAATTAATATGAATAAATTTTTTATGTTAATTTAACAAACGAGCAAACTCAAATAGAGGTTTTTTTGGTTCGTTTATTGGCTCATTTAAAAACTCGTTTATAAACTTGTTTACTCTATTCTCCTATTCCTTTTATTTTTCTATTATAAATATTGGTGAATGTATGGACTAAATTGAATAAAAGGGTTAACTTTGAAGTTCAAAAATATAAATCTTAAGGAGCTAAAGGACTAAAGGCATAAGTTTACCATTTTCCTTGACTTGCAAATAAAAAATAATGTAAAGGGAGGGTTGGTTGCTGAGTAGAGTCGAAAAATATAAAAATAATATTCATGAAATATTTTAAAAAAATAAACAAATGAATATGTACATGATTTTAAAATTTATACCCGAACATAAATACATTCAAATTAAATAAACGAACACGAATACAACCTTATTCATTCAAAACTCTGATCATTTACACGCCTATTCATATTTCTTATATATGCCTACAATAAAACGCAAGCAAAAAGAAATAAGGAAAAATATTCAAATGATCTTCGATTATAAGATACTATTTTATTGAGTTTCGACTATTAAAAGCTACAAAATAGTCTTCCGACTATAGAGCGTTATTTTGTTGAGTCATTCGACTATTAAAGTTATAAAATGGTCACCCGACTATTCATAATGTTCAAATTTTATCTTTTTTCGTTAAAAATTAATGGTATTATGCGCTAAACGTTAGCATGTTGACTGTGATATGATAAAATATGATCCCAAAATCTCAAACGACTATCATATCTCAGTCATCATGTTAACGTCCAACTTAGATAACTGCCAATTTTTTAACGGAAAATGACGAGTTTAGAACATAATAATTAGTCGGGTGACTATTTTGTAACTTTAAATAGTCAAGGGACTTAACAAAACAACATTAAATGATGATAAGACTATTTTGTAACTTTTAATAGTAAAAGAACTTAATATAAAAATACCCTATAGCCGAGAGATCATTTGTGTACTTTACCTTTTTGGTTTGATAGAAAGGTTTTACCTGGTAGGAGCCGCGTATCCGAAGTCAACAAAACCGATGGTCGGACCCTGATATTTCAGAATCCTACCGTCGGCCACACCGGTAAAGAAGTTTCCGGTCCGCAACTCAAAAGTCATCGCCTCGGGGCCTGCCGCATTCCGCGGCAGTCGGAGCTTGTCCAACGAAATTACTGAAACTAACGTCGGAAGACAACAAAGGAGGAAGATGGATGCTGCTATTCTCATGAACGTGAGGCTTCTTGCCATTTTCAACTTGATATTTATCTTCACGATTCTAATATGATAAAGCAATATTTATAAGGATTATGTAACATTGATTTAATTTTTAATTATAATTTCCAGGTTCACGTGAGATGAGTTTATTATTGATGCATTAGTTGAGATTCTCAATCATGCGATAAATAGGTTTAAATATTAATCTGATCTATGTACATTGCACCTCCTTTTAAATTGATTGTTTATCCTAATTGAAAACCCTAAATTCTAGTCCCTAAATTAAATAGTCCCTAAATTTTAAATAAGATTTTATTCGATTGAACCGAAAAAACGCTTAACCCAGATTTGTGGGTCTCATCAAAAACCTCTTGTGGGTCTCATCAAAAACCTACCCAGACTTATTTGGAGGAAAAGAGTACACCACAAATATGGTAAGAAGCCGAAGCACATAACTTAGCAACAAAACTAAGATCACACAGATTAGAGAAGCACATCACTTTGCCTTTGAGGTCATTTTTAAGTATAAGATCGAGTTAGAAGCTAACTCGGGAGTTATCGATCGATGGAGGATGCACTGTGGCAACCCAACTGAGAAAAACTTAGAAAAGTTACTGAAAAGTTAATATTCAGGGGACGAACGTAATATTCTATGTTAATAATTTAAAATTTTAGGATGTCATAGTAGAAATTTAGAGAAGCAAAATTATATCACTAATACAAAATATTTATATAAAAATTATACGAGAATTTAAAATTTCTAAGATATGACGGGTATTTTAGCGGCCTTTGATCCATCCATAGCTAAGATGTAACATGAGTTTGGCAATGGTGGCAAAAGCAATTCTAAATTCATATCTAATTTCAATTGAATTCAAGACTGGCGACGGAAATTTTAAATATAATTTTCAGGTTCATGTGAGATGAGTCTCGAAATAAATAATCTCTTGCAAAAAAAATTGGTTTAAATATTGATCTGGTCCATGTACTTTGTACGTTCTCTTAAATAGTCTTTGTCCTAATTTGAAATTGTTTGGGATTCGAGAGTGAAGTAATAACGAAAACGATATCAACATAAAATAAGACATGTACGAGAGATGAAATTTGGTGTGGTTAGGCCCTGCCTACTTTTACGGGCAAAAACAATAATCCATTATAAACATAGAGAACACGAAGAGTATAAATACATAATATCACATGTATCCCAAAACCCTATATAGATACCAAATCTTGATATATCCTAAAACATTCTTCCAACATCCCTACAAAACTATCTTTCCAAAATAATTTTCTCTCATGTAACCCTAAAAGTTTAGATATAATTAGGTGTGAGCAAAACTAAACTCGACTCAAAAATCGATTTTTTACTCTATTCAAAACGAAAAAACTCGACCCGAATTTACTTCGAGTTACAATTTCATAAACTCATACTCGAAAAAATTTCAAATTCAAATTTAGTTGTAAAATAGAACTTGAATAACTCAAAATGTTTTGTAATCAGTGAATTTATTTTCAAATTTGAGTCGAGTCCTTCGACTTTATATGATATATATATATCACATGCAAAAAATAAAGAAATATATTTGTTTTGTATATAGGGTTATAGAAAGTCACATTAATTAGAATCAAATAATATTATAATATTATAATATTTCCAAGTAAATTTGAACAGAAACTCGAAAAATCAACTCAATTCGAATTTTATAAACTCGACTAGACTTGAAAAAAAATTCAAGTCAACTCCAAATTATAAATAGGACTCGTCAACTCGAATAACTCAAAATTTTTTATTCAACTCGACTTGATCAACGCTTACCCCTAAATATAATCTTTATTTAAAAAGTCAAATACTCAATCACCAAGAATTTTTATTCCATAAGAATTATTACCTAAAGTAAATATATATTGTATGAAATAAACATAATTATTAAGTAATCTTTAACATTAGAATTATAATAAAATTCAATTTAATTACCGATTATAATAGGTATTTTGTAAAACCTTTTAAGTACGTAGGTAAATATGAACTCATCAAATAGTATAACTGATTAAATAAAGTGATATTTTTAGAGATTCTGAATTCGAGTAATTATCTTTTTAATATGCGCAATAAAATTATAAACAAATACAAAATTTAGTCATAAGCAATCATAAATTTTTTTTTTTGAAAGAGGGTATTTTGTACTAAGATGAATAACAAAGTACACCACCTCAAGGACCTCATTAAAAAACCTCTCTAACCCTAAATGGAGGGAAAAGAGTGTACCTTGGGGTGGTAAAGAACAAATACACATAAAATTCTAACATCATCCAGACTATACCCATGCCCTACCACAATCTCCAATCCAACACATAATAAGACCAACACAGACAACCAACAATATGAATAGAGGACACACTGAGAAACATACGCATACACCAAAACCAGTGGAATGAACCTTAGCACCAGAACGAACCAACAACAACACCCTGAACTTGACCGAAGACAAAGCACTAAGAAATGGATACTCACTTGCTGAACCAAAACCAATAAAAATTGCCTTGAAGCTCGAAATAGAGCTTGCATTCCCCCAAAAATAGAAAGAAACAAGTGCTTGCAGAACTTTCAAAGGAATGCAGAAGCTACCGGAAGGCTCGAACTAGGACCGAAACAAAATTCCAGGGATCGAATACTTCTCAATACTAACCATCTGGCCCAAACAGGTAAACTCACAACTTTAGTTTCCAAATAGAAAAGTAGACTCCAATCTCTCAAGCACCCTCTTCCTTGTAGCTCCAAACTGCACGCCCAAAGAATCCGCCAAAGCTCAGGTTGCCACAACTTCATTTTCACTCCCCGGTGGCCAGACGAAAATACCCACTGGAAGGACCAACCCAATTCTGAGCATTTCCGGAACTAAACCTCTCCCTGCTACCCTCCGTACTATTCTTCTTCTTTTTTCTAAAGGCATTAAATCTACAACGATCCTGTCTACCAATCTGCAGAAGTGAAACTTTGCTACCACCGTTCTCTAACAAGCCCACAGCAGAATTTTTATCTCCTTCTAACTTGAAAGGAATTTTCACTTTGATACTCGAAGATGCTTCTACCCGATTTCCTTCCACTATGCCTTGAATAGCAGAAACTTCTACTATAGGAACTTCTAATAACCTATAACTACTGGAAAAGGATTGGGACATTCCAATATGGGCTGGCTCTCTATTAATACCAACTAAGCCGATGCTATCATCCACCAACAGATAAAAAGGCCCATCATTAGACAATCTGGGTACTTTGAATAAACCATCTCCGACAACCTCCTTATTTCCCACAAAAGGAATATCATGCGGGAATCTGCATGTCATAACACCATCATCACACCTCTTACTTAGTGCTTCATTGAAACTATCTTCAATAAAGGCTACCTCGAAACCAACATCTGTAACAGAACCCTCCTGCAACCTAAAAAACATCTCATCACCGTCAACAGTTGTGTTCACCGCTCCACCACCGGCCGAAGTGTCATCAATGAACTCTCTATCATCTTCATGAACTTCTGAAAGAATTTTAATGGAAAAAAACCTACCATCAATGATAACAGAACATTTCTCTGGTACTATCGAAGCATACTGTACTTTCAAAAGCAATATGGCTTCATCGAAACGGACTCTATTACTCGTTTCTTCATGGATTGAAAGAACAGAACCCCTCAAGTTCCCTAAATCATTGAAGAAATAATTGCTCCACACTAATAATGGAACATATACTAAAATAACCCATATTTTTCTTTTGAGTCTCTGCTCATACCCTTTTAAAAATTCCAGTTCGTCAAACCAGGTTTGAAGCCAGTCGTCTCTACTGTTCCAGCATGCCATACGCTCCATAGCCCCATTAAACTGTATAACCACCAGCAGATCGAGCCTAATACTAACCCTTACATCAAACCCTTCTGCTTGAAAAGCTGTATGAATGATATCCTCATTATACATCTTTATGATTTTATCAACCAGACAACACTCTCTCCACTGTAATTCATTCTTAGGAACCACTATATTCGAACCTACAACTTGACTATTCCGACTTAAGAAAGGAGAGCGAGCTTCCGAAAAACTGACATGGAACATTGCACCCGAATCTACTATCCTAAATTGTGTATTCGTTGATACAAATTCCTGTGACCGACTACCTACATCATTCCGACCACCCAAAACGACCTTGCAAGACCTGGTATCTCTTAGAGCCGGCTTCCGCACCCTCTTCACTGATTTACCAAATACATATTTGTTGCTTTTTGATTTCGATAATTTAATATGATAAACTTTAATTATATACCCATCCATCAACCTCCCATCCGCCCTCCGAACCATAAAACTGGCTTCATGCTTGCTTCTGAACCTAACAAACACAAACGTGGATCATGCTTGCTTCTGAACCTAACAAACACAAACGTGGATCCATCACATAGTCTCCTTCTGCTTCTAAAAGCAATGAACACGTACGACACTGTACCATACTCTATGAACGCTTTCGTAATAGTAGATAGGTGAATCCTCTTACTAATGTTATTGACAAAGACTATATGAATCATAATATTAATTTCAGTTTCAGGTTTTTTTCAATTTGAATGCTCATAAACACCAATGAAATCCACAAACGGTGATGCTACATAAAACTTACAATCAAACTCCTGAACTTCACTATACGATTTCCACTTGCATTTATCCATTCTCCTACAGGAAGCAAACTCGATTGTGTACGTCAATATATCCTCGTTGCCGCTATCCAGAAACCATATGATCTTACCTTCTTAATGTTATCTGGTATCGGCCGAGTGTTTACGATGCCGGATTCGTATGGGTTACGGCCTTGGACCTGAATCTTTTGAGTTCTATTTCCGATGAACTCGGAAACTAGGACGAATTCTTCATCATCATCAACTGCAACCCCTCCTGGAAATGAAAGATTCCTTAACAACACTGTTACTTCGTTGTTTCCGACGTCGCACTTTAGCAACCTCCCCGTCGAATCCTTAACATTTGTCGTTGTTTCGAATTGTCTGCAACATTACAGAAATGTTCATATTTCGCTCATATGATGTAGTATGTAGTACTTAACCTGGATTAGTAGGTCAATAGATAGGTAATTTACTTTATATCATATACAACACTGACATCAGTGAAGCAGACATTTCTGGTTGGTTGATGGACATCCACACCGTCGCAGAAACGATAAGTTTCGCCATAGGCGACGGTGGAAAGTATGGTTGCCAATCCACTTTTCGGACCCAACACTCTGAATCCGAAAAACGCATCTCAAACATATAACATGTTCGTTTGGTGGTGCAACGCCATCCCTACTAACCTTCCACAACTTGGATTCAGATGGGGCATGTCCGTGCCATCGCACATCAATATCGACCTACTCAAAAAAAACATTCCACATGTTGAAAATGATATGAACATATATATCCCAATCCCAAAATCAAAAACTTGTGCATGAGGAAAAAAAATTAAAGATTAACTAGTTAGGAGCAACAAATCCTAAATCGACAAAGCTGATGGTCGGACCCTGATATTTCAGAATCCGACCGTCCGCTACAGCTGTAAAGAGGTGTCTGGTTCCTGACTCGAAAGCTAGTGCCTCAGGGCCACTCGTATTTGAGGATAAATATGAAGTAGTTATGAAGGATAAAAACTCTGAGTGTGATTCATCGGAAAAGTTTTCCGACGAAATGTCTACTAGAGTGTCACCGGAGAAGCTTAAGAGCCAAGGTCAATCTGTTGAATAAGACTCATTGAATGAAACAGACCTTGGGAAAAGCCTTGTCGAGAGTAATCATTATCACACCCCAATTTTCTTTGGTTTTTCAATTTAAATTAGTTATCTTTGGGAATCAAATTACAAGTTTCAACAAAAGTTTAGGTTAATTTCGAATTCTCGGGAAGTCCAGGGATTCGACCCTGAATTTTCCCATTATTGGCAAGCAAAAAAAATAATAATACATATTTTATGGTTCAAAGGATTTGATCCCACGTCCTTTGGTAAGCCTACCATTGTTATGAATTATTTTATTAAAAATATCTTTTAAAGTATACGAGATCATATTTTAAAGAGAAAATAACTTCAGTGACCAAAAATGTCTTATAATATACGATTTTAACCAACTTTTTTTGGATTTGCCAAAATGACCAACAAAATCGCAATGCGAAATAAAAATCGCTACGCGATCTCCAGAATCGCAAATTAGTTCCCAGAATCGCAACGCGATTATGAAGAATCGCAATGCGATAGTACAAATTCGCATTGCGATTTTCCATAATCGCAACGCGAATATAAAAATCGCAACGCGAACATATAAATCGCAACGCGATTTTGACTATCGCAACGAGTATCCGTAAAATCGCAACGCGTATCCGTAAATCGCAACGAGAATACGTAAATAACAAGTATCTGTAAATCGCAATGAGAATACGTAAATCGCAATGCGTATCTGTAAATCGCAACGACAATACGTAAAATCGCAACGCATATCCGTAAATCGCAACGCGATTTTTAAAGCACCATTATAATCGCTACGCGTATTTTATTTTCAAATTCTAAACACGAATATTAATTATCGGAACACTGAACCGTCCACAGTATATCCCGTAATCGCAACTCATAACCTAAAACCTAAAAAAATCACAACTCAGTCTCATCTCCATCTCTCACTCTCTACGATGAAATCCGTCCCCATCTTCGAAGATTTCCGTCCCCATCTCCGGCGAAATCCCTCATAACCATTCACGGTCAGAAATCCCTCACAATTATTCAGAAATGGAAAATCAACCTCCGAGGGTTAGTTTTTTTTATTTATTTTTATTTTGAAATTTTTGCATTATTTTAGGTTTTTCATATTGAAATTGATGATAAGTTTACTGGTAATTTCAATAATAGATTAACCATTTCACTTAGATTTCTTATTAAATTCATTCGATTGCTGTCAATACTGCTAAACTGTTTAGTCTTTAACCCTGTGAAGTTAGTATTTGTCTTTGTTTTATCTTTTGGTTGAAGTAATGCAATCCATTAAAGTTTCAAGTTACAGAAGAAGAATAGTTTCTAAACTTAAAATCGCAACATGAAAATGAAAATCGCAACACGAAAATGACTATCGCAACGAGAGAAATGAAAATCGCAACGGGGTTCTTGAACATGTATGTTTATCAATAAAAGTCCTAACTTGAAACATTTCGCAATCTTTTATCCTCTTTGCAATCATACGCCACATACAGTTTTTGTCAATCATACACCTTGTTTCGAAACGATCTTTGCTTGATTTGTTAACTTTTAGTTGATAGCCATCTTCCACACATTTCGTATACAAAGCTATCTTCAAGTCTTCCTTTGTATCAAAACAATCATCTTTCTTGATACGAATAATTTTTGTGTAACAATTAACTGCTATCTTTACCAACTCTTCTTCCGGTATCTGAAGTAATTCTGGCATATTCCGGTTATACTCCCGTGGCATTTTCTTCGGGGACTTTTCTTTGGGGATTTCTTCTTCTTCTTTTTCTTCTTCAGTGTTATATGAATTACAGAATGGATGTTCAAAATGTTCATTTACAGTCGTAACTTCCTACTCATTATCATCAATAACATCTTCTTCGGCAACGGCTGTTTCATCATCAAAATTCGGGTATTGACCAATATCAAAATCATTACACGCAGGGTCTGTTTATTCTTCTGAAAAATCATCAAAATCCGAGTATTGACCAAGATTAAAGTCCGGGTATTGACCAAGATCAAATTTTGAATACCGACTAGTACTCACAATTTTTTCTGTTGGCTCATCATCGTCTAACTGGTCAATACGAAAACCAAAATTTGGTGCTGAAAGTTTATTGGGATTTGGATTAGGGAAAGGTTGTGGGTTTTGAGATTGTGTTTGGTATTGGAAATGTGGTGAAACAATATTTGCTTGGTGATGAAATTGTGGTAGAACCATTAAATTTTGAGCACCATAAACTGGGGTCGAAAAACTTAGTTGATTACTACCCGCTACTGACCCAACTTCACTACTTCTAGGTTCAACAACATACAATGTAACATCATCACTTGAAACACTAATATAAGCAATGAATCGTTCAACATCTTCATTGTCGGTTAACAAATAAACTTTACCATTTCTCAGATAAGATAGCCTAAATCCACTTAGGGGCTCTAAATTCAATTTATTTGCAACACGTAACATTAGAGTTTCATAAGTTAACTTTTTTAATGACAGTTTTAGTTGAAGATTCATGGGTAAAGGCATATATTGTAAAACATCATGAACATTCTCCCATGACCCTCCAAAACACAAATCTATCCAAACATGATCAACATTAGATGATTTCATTATTGTAAATTAATTTACTAAACAAACGAGCTGCGAAACTAAAACCTGTTACTGGATGGGGAAGGATGTCGTTGGATATAGGAACGGATGTCGCCGGAGAGAGTGATAGATGGAGATGGAATGGGTTGCGATTTAGGGATTTAGGTTATGAGTTACTGCTGATGCGTAGTTATATACCCAAAACATTTGTGTTGTGAAATTAAAACCTGTTGCGAATTCAGAAATCGAGTTGCGAATTTAAAATTCAGTATTGCGATAGTCAGAATCTCGTTGCGATTTACAGATTCGCATTGCGATTTACGTATTCGCATTGCGATTTACGGATACGCATTGCGATTTACGTATTCTCGTTGCGATTTACAGATACGCGTTGCGATTTACGTATTATCGTTACGATTTACGGATACGCGTTGCGATTTTACGTATTGTCGTTTCTATTTACGGATACGCGTTGCGATTTTACGTATTGTCGTTGCTATTTATGGATACGCGTTGCGATTTTACGGATACTCGTTGCGATAGTCAGAATCGCGTTTCGATTTATATGTTCGCGTTGCGATTCTGGAAAATCGCAATGCGAATTTGTACTATCGCATTGCGATTCTTCATAATCGAGTTGCGATTCTGGGAACTAATTTGCGATTCTGGAGATCGCGTTGCGATTTTTATTTCGCATTGCGATTTTGTTGGTCATTTTGGTAAATCCAAAAAAAGTTGATTAAAATCGTATATTATAAGGCATTTTTTTTTCACTGAGGTTATTTTCTCTATTTTAAAATCCCTAAATCCCAACTGACAGAGCCAAGCCTCAAAAAATTCCCAAATTATTTTAACTTTCCATCGTTGTCCCTTATCTCCAAAAGGTAGTGATGGGTAAATTTAGAGTTTGAAAGGAAGGTTCTTAAAGTTTTGGGTTTAGGGTGTCATTTTTAATATTGAAAAATATCCTATGTGAAATTTTTAATGGGTTAACAGTCAAACTTAACGGTTCATTATGGTTTGACCCATTTTGAGTAACGAAATGAAACGTTAGGTACCAAACTAGAACAAAATAAACGTTAAACACTAAACTGAAAAAATGAGTATAGGTTAGAAGTGACGTGTTTCAATAAAATATATTTTTTATTAAATTTTGTCACATCATAGTGACAAATTTTAATAAAATATATTTTATTAAAATTCGTCATATTCACGTGATAATTTCTAAGCTATTGTAATAAATACCGTAATCTTTAAAATAAAAAAGTTGGTATCGTATTGGGCTAAATAATTAACCCGTCTACGATCAAAATAACCCTAGTCGTACTCTATCAAACACCAATGTTAATAAGTCTTGGGCAGCCCAAATTAAACAGTTCAATGCCAATGTCTTAAAAGCCCATTAGGGTACAAAGAAAGCTTAAACCCTCAACATACAAAAACTCTAATTTCCTCATATGGTTTCTTTCACATTATACCCTCTTTTTAACCTTGATCCTTGAACTGCTCTGTTTCTGCCCATCTTTCCCCTGTTTATTTCAGTCGTTGGCGGAAAGAAAGAGAAAAGAGAGGCAAATGGGAAGCGATAGGGAAGTGGAAAAGTCGCATCAGAAGGAGAAGGAGAGGAAGAAGATGTTAGCTATTGCTCCCATCGCAAAGCCCCTTGCTGGCAAGAAGCTCTCCAAGAAAACCCTTAAGCTCGTCCGCAAAGGTTTCCCATTTTTTATGATATAAAATCAATCGTTTTCATGAAACTCCGCTTTGGGTCTTTTCATTTTTAACTTTAAAGCCTGTGTGGGGGTTTTAAGTTCTAATGGTGGAATTTGTGCTTAAAATGACGGTTTCTTGATATTATAGATTGTTTTGTGTTTGAGTTCTCAATGTGCTGATCTTTCATTGTTGCAGCATCTGAGCACAAGTGCTTGAAGAGAGGAGTAAAGGAAGTCGTCAAAAGCATTAGGCGTGGCCATAAAGGGTAAACTTTTCTTTCTATAAGCATCGATTAGTCAGTGAACTCGTGTGACCATTATGTGTTCGTTTGAATGCCAATGTAAGTTTCATGGACTTAGAATCATTTGTTTGCAACTTACTCAAGATTCGATCAAAGTTTGGTCAACACTCAAATCAAATACATTCGAGAACACTACTCAGTTTTTAATGAGCCAAAGCAAGTTACTTGATACATTAATAAAAAAAGCTTGCTAGCAACTTGAAAAAATAATTTTTTAGTTTTTCAAAGTATAATATAAGGTTTTTATGTACTAAAGGTTCAGGTTTGAGCTTGAATTGAGCTCGGATTTGGTCTTCAATCGAGTTAAGTCTGAGAATGTTTCGAGTTTAAACTTTTCGAGCCAAGTCTAGTTTGATAATTTTAAGCTCGTGATCTTTGGAGTCGAGTCGAATTCAATCTTAAACTTTTTGAATTGAGTCGTTCTCAACAATACTCGAGCTTGACTCGACTGGTTTACAACCCTAGTTGTTTGCATGTTCTTATAGTTTGTCTTTTCATACCTTAACATGTGATGTAGCTGGTTTATAACATTTGAGAGAGTCATGTTTCTTCAATCTTTTTTTTGAATGCAGATTATGTGTTATAGCTGGAAACATATCTCCTATTGATGTCATAACTCATCTCCCGATTATGTGTGAAGAGGCTGAGATTCCCTATGTTTATGTTTCTTCGAAAGAAGTAAGTTCGGACCTCCGTCCTCCGCCCTCCTCTCTGGTATTTGTCTAATTTGGTTGCACTACATTTTTAAAGTGGTTCTCCTGCTTGCCTATCCAAAACCTTAGAACATAATCCTTGTTCACATGGATAGCCAATTGCTTCTATGGATGCTGCAATTTGACTCTTAACTGTATGTAAGACTAAGCATGACTAAAGGGTCTTTGGCGGATTTCGAGTTACGGTTTTCGGTTTAAGTAGATGATGAACACTGCTTGAGTAGTTTCTTCCGCCACTTTCAGGATCTTGCAACGGCGGGAGCTACCAAGAGACCAACATGCTGTGTTCTGGTGTTAACGAAGCCCGCCAAAGGCGAACTCGCCCCCGAGGAACAAGAAAAGATAAAGGCCGATTATGGCCAGATAGTATCGGATATATCCGAGCTTACATCCTCCCTTTTTTAATTACCAAGAGACCAACATGCTGTGTCCTGTTGTTGCCATTCTTATTTTCTGCATCTCAGGGTGTGGTGCTCTGTCACCAGCATTTTGTTTTTCTTAAACCCTTTTGAGTCTTTAATCAGTAACATGTTTTATTTCCCTTTGAACATGTTCTTTCCCTTCCCTCAAATCAAGTACTGTTAAGTGTTAAAATCATGTTAGTTTTTCTTTGTATAAGGTTCTAGTTTTTTTTAAGCAAAATTAGATGATGAGTTTGAATCCCGATACCGTGAATAGAATAGTTTTGATTTAGAATAATCGTTTTTATAATGAATCTCTGTAAATAAATTGAGTTTAGAGAATTGTTTTTATAACGAACTTTTATAATATATGATATAAATTAATTGACTAATGAATCGAATACGAGTGTAAAATGATGTGAGTTTGAGTTTTCTAAAGCCCAAATTAAGTGGTTTATGAAAATTATAGCAATGCAAACGTTTGAAAAGCTCATCAATGGTACAAACAAAGCTTAAACCTCAGATTTCTTTTAATCAATATTAGTCTTTAAATTATTACATATAAACTTATTATTATTTAATTAAAATTTTATGATAATTGGGATATTAATGTTTTAAACAAAATTAGATATGAGTCCTGATAAAAATAATTTATATATGTTAAAAAATATAGTTTAAATATTTATTATAATTGAAGAATAATTTAAATACTTAAAATAGTTTATATAATAATTTAAAATTTTATTTGATAAACAACTAATTTTAAAAAAATACATAATTTAACTTTTTTAGGGTTAACTACACGGATGATCACTTGTGTTTGTGTTTGTCCACTTTCGGTCACTAATTTCAAAATACATAAGATATGGTCACCTTCGTTTTTATTTAATTAAGATACAATCACTTTTGTTTTTATTTATTTAAGATGCGGTCACCACGGGTTAACTGTCGTTAACAGTTAACAGATTAAGTGACGTGATATTTTGGTATAATCACACATTTGATCCTTATTATTTACATATTCTCTCTATGTAGGCATACTTATAATAAATTAAAATAAATTTAATCTCCAATCGAATGATATCACGTGTCACTAGTGCTATGTGTCACCATTTGATTGGAGAACTAACTTTATTTTAATTTAATATATTTATTTTCCACAATTTGCTTTCCATTGTTAAATTAAAATAAAATAAAATAAAATAAAGTTAGCATTCCAATTGAATGGTGACCCACGACACGACAAATAGTACTAATGACTGTGACATCATTCGATTGGAAGATTAAATTTATTTTAATTTATTAAAAGTATGACTACATAGAGAGAATTTGTAAATAACTTGGATTCACTTTTATAGTCTAGAACTGCATTTTTCTTACTGAAATATGTTAGTAATATATTTTTTCCCTTCTTGCAGTTTGTTGTAAGGAAAAGTGGAGTGAATTCGGATAATACCGAGCACAAGGTTGCCGGGATCGATTGGAATTTCAATAGCTGGGGAGGTCAGAGTAAACTTTGGTATTTTCCACCAATGCTACTCCGACTCTTTATTTTATGCCCGGACACGACTGTTCGGGATACAATCCTCATAGAAACACTTTGAAGAACTAAACATACTCGTATCTGACACTCACACCCGGCTTGCATAACATACTCGTATCGAAGCCCGATGCTGTTCTCTTGACTGAATGCAGGTTGTAAGAATCGAGGGTGCTCGAGAAATCGTCCTGGGAGGCGGAAATATACACTGCATTACTCAGCAACACCCGGCTGCCTGAGACTTCGACCGGGAAAACTGGCGGTCCTTGTTTGATTCGGTGGCTGAGTTTCTGCAGCAGAAGATTTGGGTTGTATTGTATCAATAAAACACCATTTTTACAAACCTATACACCAACACAAAAGTTTCAGTAATTTGTCAATGGATACTCACATGCTTCGAGTACTTTTTAAACATTTGGGTTTTAAATGAATAAATACAACAGTCCAGAATGGACTGAAGGGTGACTAAGTACCGTCGCAATTCTAAAATTTTTAAATTTTAATGTAATTTTAATATTTTTTTAATATTTTTATTATTGATGATATAATTTTGTACCCTTGAAATTGTGTAGTTTTACCCTTTAAATTTTTAATATAGTTTTTTTTAAAGTTTACAACCTTGACATAAAATATTGTGTATGTCTCGAGTTCGAGTGATAAGCAATTTGATATATTTTAAGTATGTATCGAGTTTCAGATTTTGTGTACGCAGAAAATCTTCATTAAGAGATTTGTCCATCAAAGCCATGTGTATGACATGAATTGATTTGGATTAATCAGGACGAAATCTTAGAATCGAAGAAAAAAAAAACATGTTGCGTCCTGATAATAGTGTCTCAATTTAAATGTCGTAAAACTCGTTGAACGACTTCACTGATAAGAGAGTGCAAAGTTAAGAAAAACCACCGATTAACTTACGTCATGTTCTCCTACCTTAAGTGGGTGATTTGACCTAAAAAATTTCAGGGATGAATTTTAAAGAAATGTCAAATTTAGGAGCAAAGTTGTATATTCAACCTTAGGCAATAAGTTTGTGTACTCGTGTCTACTGGGTCATCCAAATGGACGGATCAGATTAAATCAGAGCAATTCTAAAATAAAAAATGAAAGCGCGAGGGAGTGGCGCCAGATTTTGATGTGAGCAGTCGCATAAAAGTGACAATAGCCAATTCCAACGTAAACAGCGGAGTGGAAGAATGAAAAAGTGGAGTGTCAAACTCAGACCTAAATTCTAATACACAAATCACAGTCTCGTGAATGTTTCAAAAGCTGGAGAAAAAAAATGATAGCTTGAAGATCTAGAAAGGTTTTTTTCTTTTCTTTAGTTGAAGAGATAAAAGAAGAGCAAATAAGCAATGGGGTGTTCGTTTTCAGGGTTGAATGCATTATACGACGCCGTAAACGGCGGAGGGGACGTTTGGATCAACGACAACCGGTTCAGGATCGTGAGGCAGTTGGGCGAAGGTGGGTTCGCCTATGTTTATTTGGTGAAGGAAGTCGTATCCGATCCCTCTTCAGCTTCAGCTACTGGCTTAGAAAAAAAAGTCAAGGCCCCTTCTCATCTTTCTGGTTCGTCTCCCTCAAAAATTCTCTTTTTAATATTTTTTTAGGATTTTACGATTTGGGTATTTCTCTATTTGAATGATTTTTCCATGACCTGCTCTTTCTGATTTGTGCATTCGTTGCTTTCGTTTGATCCTTTGGTTCATGGTTTTAAGCGATTTCCTTTTGTTGCAATTTGATTGTGTTTATCTGCGTGATATCTTTTTTTTTAAATAGTGAATGGATGTATGGATTATCTTGACTATGGTATCTTGTCTATGGAAAATTGAAGCCGGCTATGGTATTTCCTATGAAAATATATGGTAGGTTGTTTGGGGTTATTTTGGCTTGGCTTATTGGTTAGATATGGATCTGAAGTTGTGCCCTTTTCTTCTTCTTTGTTACAATAGTAGTATGATAATCTCATAAAACCGAATCGTGTATGTGTAGAAGTGCACCTTTAAGTGATTGCCAAACTATAGTTGGAGTTACAGAACTAAAACTGTTGATCAGTTCAATCTTTGGTCTCAATTCTGTTGTGAAAACTTAAAGCGTTGGAGGTATAACTTCAGAATTTATATGGAGTTGTTGTGTTTTTTATTTATGACGGTCTGACTTCTCGTTCGCCGGGTTCCAATTTATGCAATTTTGTTTTATCTGAATTACATCTGAACTGAGACCAAAGATGTAAGAATCGTAAGCCCTTAAGTGTATGATTACATGTGCCGCATAGTTACAACTCGAATGCTATGAAAGCTAAAAAGGAGTTCTTCTCTACCTCAGATGTTCTTCAAATATTCCGGCAGGTGAGTAAAACGATCTTACCGTTTTGACATATTTCATGCCATTCTTCATGTAATACATACACTTAAGGGCTTGAATATTTATCGATCAAGGATTTGTAACTATGCGGCACATGTAATCAATGTATCTCATGGTCTTCTTTGTACTTGACCATCTAGCTGCAATGTTCTAATATTTGTACATTTAATGCTTTAGACTTACTCTTTTCTTTTCTTTTTTTCGGATTTATTGATGTTATCATGGATTAGTAAGAATCGTAAGCTTTTTAACCAGACCAAACTATTTCCACAGCTGTGTGCAGGACTGAAACATATGCATGGTCTTGATCCTCCATATGCACATAATGATGTTAAGCCAGGAAATGTTCTTTTAACCCGTAGAAAAGGGCAATCACCTCTTGCAATATTGATGGACTTCGGGAGTGCTCGTCCTGCGAGGAAACAAATTCGTTCTCGTTCAGAAGTTCTCCAGCTTCAGGTGCTTATTTCAAGACACATATTTCTGTCTATCGGCTTAGTGCATCTTCCACTGTGTTCATGTTGGATTTGGGTTTCGTTTGCATGAATGGGCATCTGAGCACTGTTCAGCACCTTTCCGAGCTCCCGAGTTGTGGGACTGCCCGAGCGATGCAGATATTGACGAGAGAAGTGATATTTGGTCATTGGGATGCACTTTATATGCAATAATGTAAGGGTTAATATCTTCGAAACGATGCTTATCGGAAATGCATTTATCTCCCATAGCGAACCATTCGGTTTTCGCAGTTATTAATCGTCATTTGTTGTAGGTACGGGGTGTCTCCATTCGAGTATGCACTTGGAGAAGCTGGAGGAAGCCTGCAATTGGCCATTATAAATGCTCAGATTAAGTGGCCGGCTGGGCCTAAACCACCATATCCTTCATCAGTTCGTGACATGGACGCTTCAGCCTCAGGCCGCGGTTCGACCGCGGATAGACGATATCATAATTCATGTCGACAAGCTGATCTCAAAGTTTCCAGAGTGATATCGTATGTAGGGGTGAGCAACGAAACCGAGAAAACCGAAAAACCGACACGAACCGAGTAAAACGGTTCGGTTCGGTTTGGCTTTAAACGGTTCGGTTTTCAGTTCGGTTTAAAGGCTTCATTTTTTTGATTCGGTTCGGTTCGAGTTTTCCATATGGAACCCATTTGTTCCATATTGAACCGAATAGGCAATTTTTGTAAAAAAAATTATAGTTTCAAGTGATTTTTTCATTGAAAAACCGAAAAACCGAACCGAACCGAACCGAAAAACTCGAACCGTTAAAAAACCCGAACCGAACCGAAAAAACCTGTTTTGGTTTTTTTTTCGGTTTTTTAACTATTCGGTTTCGGTTTAAATATTGAAAAATCGTTTATTTCGGTTCGGTTCAGTTTTGGTAAAAACCGAACCGAACCGAATACACCCCTAATCGTATGGGGGTGTGAACGCATTTCTTACATCTTTTGTTATATATTTTTTCTCATCCCTAACCTTAACCCTAACATTCTAATACATATAAAAAAAATTAGCTAACCCTATTCTAATGAAGTAAGGGAGAGGTAGGATAGTAAGTTGCTCCCAACACCAAGTTGAGAGCAGCTTCTGTGGGAAACCTCCGACAGTCAAAATTATGAATTGTCCACATGGGACTCGATTCCACGACCACAAGGTTAAGAGCCTTGCGCTCTACCAACTGAGTTGGACGGACAATTTTAATATTCTAATACATATATTATATCCTATTAACCAGCTCAAGTCTATAGCCATCTCTCATTTTTATTTATTTATTTATTTATAATAAGCCCATTACAATTGTTCACATCCAATGTTTGTCTGCATTTTACTAAAAAGTTCACTGTTTTTTTTTATCATTTTTATGTTTTTTAATTAATAAATTAATATTTATAATTAATTTAAAATAATAAAATATTAAATTAAATAGTATTTACATAATAATTTTTATTAAATATAAAATTTATTTTTTTGACAATAAATTGTAATGCCTATATAACGTTAATGCTTTTTTATAATAAATTTTAGGGCAAAGTACAAAATGGTTGGTGTTGTTTTGTTGAGTCATCTTACTATTGAAAATCATAAAATAGTCTTCTAATAATAGTTATAAAATGGTCACTCGAATATTTATATTTTTGAACTCATCATTTTTCGTTAAAAAAATGACAGTCGTTTGAGTTGGATGTTGACATGTTTATTAAAAAAATGATAAAATCTGAGTTCAAAACTATTTGAATTGTATTTTTGGGATCGACTTTCCTTTTACGTTATACCATCGAGCCAATACTTGAAATATTATATCGTTGAATCAACTTTTTTAAATAGAAGCTGCTAGTATTATTAAAAAGTGAAAATATTTGAAATTACGATTAGAGTTTACAACTATCATCGTAAACTAAATACATAATTTGAACTATTCTTATAATATTGAAATTAGGCACTTTAAATCATAAAATGATCATACATGGAACAGGTTAAAAATCCAATCAAAAGACTCGAACAAAAATATATACGAATAAATTTGATTGCATCGGTAAATGAACCACAAAAGAAAATTAAGCTATTGAAAGATTTCCAAGAACTGCAAATTAGAACTGTGAATATTGAGAAACTATTAACAAACGTAAAATCGCGCATCCAAATTCAATCTGAATGTCCATAACAGGGAAGATCAACAAGATTTCATATAAGCGTCATATTGATCAATTGTGGCATCGTCAAATCTAACCCCAAAAAATCATAAATGAAAGAACGGTCAAACGACCAAGAAAAAAATGAAAAACGTGCCATAAAGGCTGATATAAACGTATTATAAAGATAAAATTATTCTTATTAAAAAAATAAAAAGAAAATATAACTGACGGTCAACAATCAATATCAAAATTGATACCACCGTCGACTAATTACAATTAAAAAAGAAAAAAAATTTGATTTGACATATAAAAAATGACACAAACTCGCAAAAATGGGGAAAATGAAAAAAAAAAGAGGAAAGAAGATAGAGGCCACGAAAAGAAGAGAGATAAATTATTGTTGAATAAACTTATTGTTGAGTTAATCGATTGACGGAATCGGCCAAGAGGGGGTGAATTGGCAATTAAAATTTTTTGTGGAAGCTTTTGCAGAAAATTGAAAGTAATTGCACAACGATTTACAGTGGTTCGACTTTCTCAAATAAAGTCTACGTCCACTACCTTAACTATCCACACTAAGGATTTTCCAACAAATTCACTAATTTGTTCTTTCTTTTGAGGCCAAAGAGATAACCTTACAATTCCCTCAAGAGTATACCCCAACTCTTGAGAACACTCTTTTTTCCCAAAGAGAAGATTACAAATTTGCAAATTTACAAGAAAACCTCAAAAGGTAAGATGTTTGCACAATTCTAGAACAAGAAAAGAACACTCAAAGAAAATTACAAATGAGCACAATAAGTGTTCTTTGAAAGCAAAATGAATATTGAATGAAAATTGGCTTGAATTGCACAAACTTTGTGTTTGATGTTTTCTCTCTTGTTTCTCTATGATTTCTTGCTGATCAAGGGCTTCAGAACTTGTTTAAATACACATTGAATCACTTCTGAACGTTGGGGATAATTAATGAAGATAATATAGCCGTTTTAGTGTGAAAACAATTAATAAAACAGCTTGGAGCGTGGGGGGAATCGGTTCCTCCTTATAGGGAATCGATTCCCTAAGTATAAAATTCAAATATTTCGACCGTTGAACAGGGGGGAATCGTTACCCCCTATGGGGGAATCGGTTCCCTCCGAGCATTCTGGAAATCTCGGAGTCAAACCATTCAGGGGGGAATCGGTACCCCCTATGGGAGGGAATCGGTTCCCTCTGAGCAATCTGGAAATTTTGGGTTTGAAATGATTCGAAATACTTTGAAAGATTATTTTGAAATTGTTTTAAGATTAAAACTTAATTTTACACTTAAGTAAGGATTAAAAATGATTTTTGAAATATTTGGAGTAATGTTTTTATATTCGAATAAATTTATCGAACATACTTTAGAAAATCATTTTGGAAAATCTTAAAATTCATTTAACTTAATTTGTTATATCGAAATATCAAAATGTTTTCAACAATCTCCCCCTTTTTGATATAACAAAACATTTTAGTAATTTTAAGATTTTGAAATCAAGTTTTGAAATTACTCCCCCTTACTTTAACACTTTTCCCATTTATCATTTTAAAAACACACACTTATTAAACACACTTCTTCTCCCCCTTTTTGTTAAATCAAAAAGATTCAAATAAATGTGAAAAATATTAAGCCATTTGATTAGGTATATGTATGCATAAGCTGTTAAGATCACAATTAAGAGAAACGTTATCCATTAGTTCCGTAATCAATATTCATAAATAATGTGATATGGCAAAATTGGTCATATTGCTAATAATGATGTAAATGATGCAATAACGAATAAAACACACCAAACATATAAGTTCACACTATCCATAAATCCAAAATCCAACAATCCACAAAATCAAACAATTCAAAATGTTGAAACAATATTCATTTTGTTCAAAGTTTTAAATCTAAACACAAAATCAAGCATCCGGATCGGTAGGAGGAAAACGGGCTCGCATAGCAGCCATTTCATGAGTTAGTTCATTAATACGAGCATTGGTTGCTTCATTGTTTGCACGCATCTCCTGAAGAATCTCTAATTGTTGAGCTCCCATTGTAGATAAATGAGACTCTATAGAGGAAAAGCGCGAATCCATTGTCGCATAACGGAAATCAAATGTCTCCATAAAGGATTGAAAATATGGAGGCATTTGAGTCGATTGTTGTGCGTGCTCCTCGGGTTGTTCAGGTTTTTCTTCAGCTTCATCGATATCCCTCATTAATTGTTCAAACTCGGGATCTTCGTCAGCTTCGGGTGGAGCTTGTGAAGAACTAGCTCCCGGAGTAGAAGATCGAACCCATGCACCGGTTTCCTTATTTTTGACCCATCCCGCTCTTGTTAAAGAAATAAGATTGATTTGTTTCTTAAGAGGAAATGAGGCATCTAGACCAACTCGGAGTTCGGCTTTAGAAAAGAGATTACTAAGGATACAACCGTAAACTAGTGAAGAACAGAGTTTCTTATTTGGCACTAAGTTAACGGTTTCAAAGATCTCAGCAAAGATAATCTCGGAAAGGTTTATTTTTATATTGTTTTCAAAACAATGCAACCACCAAAGGTCTAAAGCTCTAAGAGTAGAATAACGACCCCCGGATGGTCGAAACCACCAAGTGATCATAAGATGAAGAAAACGCTCATGGAGATCTAAAACACTTGCACTATCATTCCGTTTATATCGTGAGCCTAAAACTTGTTTTTCGTTTGATAAACCTTCATTATCCAAGCCTAAGGCATTGGCTATGTAATCAGGATCAAGATGGAAATATTGACCTAGGAGGTAGGAATGCACTCCTATGGTTTTGGTTTTGTCACGATTTTTGATACAAACGGCATTACAGTAGAAGATACGAACAAGTTGATGATAGACAATGGGTTCAAGTTCGAAAAGTTTATCAAATTTCTATTCGTGCAAGATAGGGAGATATTTAAAGTTAATATCAACCATAGTTTGAAGAGATGGGATACGTTCTTCCCTAATCTTATATGAGTCAAAATATTGGTAAAACCAATAACGATAATCTTTAGGACCCGGTTGATTGAAACAAGAATTTTGGATAGTCAAGTTAGGATCAAGATTTGGAATAGGATTTTGAGGAATAGGAGGAGGATTTGTTTGACGACTAGAACGACTAGATGAAGACCTAGCACGTTTAGGATTGGACATGGTTTAGGAAATCGGAATAGAATTGATAACCTGCAATTTTAAAAACAAATGTATGCAATTCAATTAATCCCAAAACTCAAATGAGTCCTCAATATTTCAAGGTTCTCTAAATCAATCCTAATGGGCAAAGTTTTTGAAAAACTTTTGAAAAATATGGTTTTGAGAAACAATATATGTATAGTTTTTATAACA